CTCCTAAATCACTCGTACGCACAACTTAAGAACAAATCTGTGCGTACGAACCGTTCTTGCATGAGGCCCATTGAGTTTCTTGATTTTGTACATTCATAAAATTGTTTTGATTCTATCTTCGTCTGGCCTGTCACCTAGAACCAGTCTACATTGGGAGAACCTATGAAGGGTCCACCTTACACTGTTAATTTTTTAAGCAGTTTATTTTTCAGTTTCTAACATTTAAAACAGATAGTTTAAACTTTTGAGGACAAGAGATTTAAATGGTAATTCAAGAAAAAGAACATCCAAATGATCATTTAGGGGTGGTCAGTGTTAGAAACCTGGTTTTGGGTGTGTTTTTGTTGTGTTCAGTTTTTTGTGCAGATGGTCTGGAGCTGCTGTCCCTGGAGGCCGGAACCGCTGATTATCACTCACACCTGTGGATCCTCTCCTGCAATCATCCAGGGGATAAAAGGAGTTGGCTGTCAGTTCTCCAGTGCCTGAGTGTTTGCCTGCAATGGTATCTCATGCTCCCATAGTTTGTTCTCTGTGTTAATTTCAGAGACGTTTTTTTTCCCCACTGTGGAACTTTATATTTACTCCTGCGATCTCCTTCCAAGGCTTCCTCCACCACCTCCTGGTTCATCTACCAGAGTTTCCCTGAGCCTCCTCGAGAACCCAAGATCTCCTGAAGCAGTTCTGAGACTGACAGCTTCAAGGTCTTTGTACCCGGTCCGCATGGTAATCTGTCCATCCTCCATCGCTCCAACTATCTTGCTGCACTGCACTGACTGTCCTTCACTCAACCACCCCCCACTGGTGGATGCTCCCTCACAACTCAAGAAGTTTTTTTTGGTTCCTCATCATTCCATCAGTATTTTTGTGTTGCTCATCATATTCTCCTCCGCCTTCAGTGATTCCCTTCCCCCGGGTCTCCAGCCTCAGAAGGAGATTCTCAATTATTTGCTTTTTATTTGTAAATAAACTTTTTGAACTTTCCTTGTCTCCTGAGAGTGTTCTGCATATGGGCCAAACACATTTCTAAAAACATGACAGTCAGGTTAGAGGAGTATTTACTCAGAGGGTCCCACCTGCCGCCCAATGGCTCCCCAGAGTTAGTAAATCATTTAGGAAGTGCACGCTCGCTCGAGATCCCATCGTAAAGCTAGAATTGTATATTATTCATCTTTAATAGAAGAGAAAATCCCAGGTTTCTGTTCAGAACTGTAGCTAGACTAATGAAAAGTCCTATCTCTGTTGAGCCATGTATCCCTATAACTCTAAGTAGTGATGACTTCATGAGATCTCCAATAAAATAATTTTAATTGGAGATAAAATTCACAACAGACTTCCTGCTACTGTCTCTGATTCTCTGTCAGATGAGGAAGCTTTAGTGTCACTAGAACCTGATTTATGTCTGGACAGTTTTTGTCCTGTTGAGCTCTGAATTATCTAAAATAATGGCTTCATCCAAACCATCAACATGTCTGCTAGATCCCATCCCAACCAGACTGTTCAAAGGAGCATTTCCCTTAATATTTATATTCTAGATGTACTTAATGAATGGTAATGTGCCACAGAGCTTTAAGGTTGCTGTAATTAAGCCTTTACTTAAGAAACTGGATCTTGATTCAGGAGTTCTGGCCAACTACAGACCTATATCTAATCTCGCATTCATCTCAAAAATTCTTGAGAAAATAGTTGCAAATCATTTATGTGAACGTCTGGATAGAAATAATCTATATGTAGAGTTTCAGTCAGGGTTTAGAGCTCATCATAGCACAGAAACAGCACTGGTTGAAGTTACTAATGATATTCTCATGGCCTCAGACAGTGGACTTGTTTCCATTCTTGTCCTGTTAGATCTCAATGCTGCATTTGATACAATTGATCACAATATTTTACACACGTTCACACGTTTGTTCTTGAACCTCGTGGGGACCTTCCATTGACTTCCATTCATTTTTTTAGACTTTATAGCCTAACCATGACCATATACTCTAAAACTAACTTCACAGGTACCTACCTGACCCTAAAACTAACCTAAAACTTGGTCCTAAACCTAAACCCACACCCGTAATTTGCATTTGGACCTGTAGGCAGTGTTGAATAAAGTACCTCAAAGTGGTATCTTAACATAAAAATACTTTGGTAAAAGTTAAAGTCTTCTCTAAAAATATTACTTAAATACAAGTCTTAAAGCATCTGATTTTTTTGTACTTAAGTATCAAAAGCAAATTTCTGACACAAAATCTACTTAAGTATTAAAAGTCAAATTACTGAGTAAAAGTGAGCAGTTAGATTTTCCAAAATGACATTTATTGGGAGGTGACTTCTCCAAAAAATATATTTTCTAACAGCGTGCAGCTGTGATGGGTTGTGTACAAGCTAATAGTGTGTCAGAATGGTATATATTTATACTTCTCATCCAAACACAATTAAATTCACTCCATCCTGGAGACACTGTTTATCATGATAGTATTTTTAAGTAATAACAACTCAGAATAAAATAGGAGTAACGACTTTCTACTTCTTACCTTTTTAAAWAATGTAGTGAGTAGAAAGTACAGATAATTGTGTAAAAATGTAATGAGTAAAAGTTAAAAGTACACTGAAAAATAATTACTCAAGTACAGATAACCAAAATTTCTATTTAAGTACAGTAACAAAGTATTTGTATTTAGTTACTTTACAACTATGTATAAATGGCTTGCAATATAACTTTTTTAAGCACTGATTATATGATGCAACTTCTTGCCATACTTCTGCTGCACCTGTCTGAATCAGTGGCAGTTCTTTAAGTTCCAATATATGATTTTGAACCATCTATACTTTATTTGATGTTGAATGTTGTGAATAGTATTTCTCCTTTGCTTTTTTTCTGTTGTGGTTGTTAACAAAATGTAGGGTTCACCTCGAGTGAAGAAACAAGATTTACTGCCTCGAAGCAGGCCTCGGACAGGCCTGACYAGAGGACAGGAACTCTGTCACAAACTGAACTCTATTTAGGCCATGACAGGTCATTCTAACCGTGGAAGAGAACCCCTCAGTTCTCTTAATCAGATGATGGACAGAACAATCTCTTCTGTTTGTGATTCATCATTTAACTAAGAATAATTATGCATTTGTTAAATCATGATAATGACTGTCACAGGAAAAGCAGAATGACTTCTTTTCTTTTATTGTGCCTTAAAGATTTATAATGGTATAAAAAATCACAGAGATTCTGATTACAATGTTTTCATTGTGTTTTTATGTAAATCACTGTTTTTATTTTACTGTGAACACAGTAATATAATTGTGGATTTTTCCTGAGAAAATCTTTCATTTATCTGGACTAACAGAAGGTTCAGAACTGATGATAAAACAGAAATGTTAATTAATCATCATAAATGTTTTGCAGTGATTTCTTTTAGAGTCTATCAGAAGAAAGCTGAAAAGAGGTTATCATATCATGTTGTTGAACAACCACAGAATTTTAACCTTGGTCTGGCGCCGCTGGCAAATCTTCATCGTTCTTTCTCTGACTCATTTCTAAGCCTGAGGGCAGAACCAAAGTTCGTCTGTTTCTTTAACTAACCCGGACAGCTTTGAGC